TTCTTTGCGTTGGTGAATAGAAAGTATACGTTAAGGTTCAAATCGTTATCAGGATTTGAATGCAATAAGACCTGTTAGGGTTTAGTATATGGGCTTCTATTTAGAAAGAACTCTGGGCTTTTTATTAAATGAAATACTTGGGCCTGTTTTAAGTTACTGTGCAAGTGTTCAAGGCGTGCGCCTCAACAAACGCCTCAAGGCGTGCGCCTCAATCTATGAGGCGTAAGCCTCTTTACCTGCGAAAAAAACCTACGCCTTGATACCCAACCAGTACACCTCAGCTTGAGGCGCGCCTCAGAACCCACCTCATAAGCGCCTTTTTAAACCATGCCCTTGATAACTTAAAAATGGACAGAATAGTTAAAAAAAATCGCATGACAAAATGCTACACGGCCTACACCTAAATGTGCAATACTTAATAGTAAAAGTGTATATGCGATATGTACAGGTGTACATTGATCACGCTAAAAAATATCACAAAATGATTTCTATAGTTGTATTATTTTGAAAATTGATGCACTTTTGTGTTAGTCAAATGCACTTTTTTCTCCGCATACGAAAAATTTCCTCATATTTACACTTTTGTCACTTATTTTCTCAGTTTAATGGCTAAGATTTCTTCTCATTTTTCATATATGGAGTGATTTGTATTCAAACCTTCCTCTCTCTATATATAAATGAGTATGTATGCTTATAATCAGTGTAAAAAGTTCCAGGATAGTGGTCATCTTTCTATGCTGCTAAAGCATTTTTGGGATTGTTGCCTGTTGGATGCTTGGTATCCTTGATTAACAACGGTGTATAGGATATTGATGCAAGGATATATTACTGAATAATTAAATTATAAGGACTTTCTTGGAAAAATATTATAAACTGATAGGAACACAGAAAATCTGAGGTTGAATTGTTGGAATATGAAACTGAAATTGAAGAAACGGGAAGGTAACGATACAGTTGAGGCAAGTTCGAGAGTGCCTCGTCTCTCCCAGTCCTAATCCCAAATCCAAAATCTGCCTGCCTATTCCTCCCTTTTCCCCCCTTTTATATACTTTCTATTCTTAAGGACCGGCCCAGACTTCCTAATTACAAGGCCCAAAACATTTATTTATACAATAACACTATTTAATAATACTCTATTATTCTTATTATTATTAGCTGTCCCTGTCCCTATCATAAACAGTCTTAGTTAAAAAGAGTGCCTGAGTCGTGCATAGGCGCCAATCACAAAGTAGTGCATGGAAATTGGCATCAGAAATGTTTGCCCTAGCATAGCCCATCAAGTGCTTGTTTCATCACGCCTCAGACTGTCTCTGCGGACATCAAGAAGACGTAAATTCAGGTAGTTGGGTGGGAAATGGAAGATTGGGTATTGGTGCCTAGAGGTAGCAATTAGGGGTGAAGGTGCTAGTGCAGAAGTTCACTAGGTGGCAGATGTTGGTGCGTTGCTCTTAGTTTTAACACTGTTGGGTATTGGTCCTCTAGTTTGATTATAGGCTAATTTTCTACTTGGCATGGGTAAAGCCAAGTTAATGTTTGGGTTTTTTAGTGACCAGCTGCAAGGCCTTGTTTGATTTGTAGGCAAGCTAAGAATGACGCCTTAGTTATGCATTTTTGCTTAATTCACATTTATAACACATTATTTGATGGCAATTCTATGGAGTGGCATGCAAGAGTGGCCTAGACCCTTAGACCTACTTGGAGACTTATCTTGTTAGACATGATCTAAATGGAATAAGGTGGTGTAATGGGAAAAATAGTGGTTACCAAGGACATCCTAATGTGGTTTTAATCAAGGCTAGATGGGCATATTTACATTTTGAGGCATATATTTGTTCTAGTGTTTAGGTTATGCATATAATATTCCAATCAACTCTATTTAAAATTGAGAGTGTAACTTCCCAAGTTTAGCCTGAATAGCGAATGTTTGAAACTCCGCTTGAATAAAAAATTCAATGATTAAAGCTTGAGCGTGATCAACGCTTATTTCCATTGAGCTTGAGTTGACCCAACTCATGAACTATTCAAGCTTGTTTCGAAGAAGTTTGATTATTAATTGTTTTTCCATTCATTTATATAAAACTTATAAAATAATAAAACGAGTACAATATAAAAAATAATCTTAAAACTAACATTAATAAATACGTACACATGTATAAAATAGTTTTTGAATGATATATATATAGAGAGAAAAGATCAGGTGAGAAGTCCCTCTTAAAATGACAAGTGAGAAGCAATCTCACCCCTTGGATTTGCATCTAATCTTACAACGCAGTAAACTTATAGACTGAATATAGAAACTTATAACCAATAAATCATAACTTATATAGCTCTCCATTATAATTACGAAAATGCCACCGCGTTAAAAATTTTTCAAGGTTTCCAACTTTATTTTTTTGCGGTGTCATTTTCGTAATTATTTTCGACGGGGTCTATAAGTTATGATTTATTGGTTAAAAGTTCGTGTTTTTAGTCTATTAGTTAAACTTCGCAGTTCTCACCCTAAGAGCACTTCTCACTTGATCCACTCCATATATTTATATATATATAGTCCCGTTCGAGTCAGGAGCTCCTGACCGGAACCGTCGTGCAGAATTCACTGTTTGGGGTGGTTCCCGGTGGAATGTTTTGATGAAATTTTTTCAGCATGTTCTTCATCAAGTCTAGTTTATTCATACCAAATTTCAACTCAAAATTCAATCGAGAAGACAATTAAATAAATTCTTGAATAATACTGCGCTTTATATATGTATATAATGCGCAATATGTTTCAATAATTTAGTTAGTTGTCTTCCCGATTGAATTTTGAGCTGAAATTTGGTATGCATAAACTACACTCGATGAAGAACATGTTCAAAAAATATCATAAAAAATATCACCGGGAAACATCCCAAACAGTGAATTCTGCACGGAGGTTTCAGTCAGGAGCTCGTGATATAAACTGCCATATACATACATATATATATACACACAAACAATCTTTCATGGTCAGCTGGCTTGACGGGAACCTCCGGACGAGGGCATTTTGGGCCCTTCCCGGTAGAATTTTTTGATGAATTTGTTTGGGCATGTTCTTCATCAAGTCTAGTTTAACTATACCAAATTTCAGCTAAAAATTCAATCGGGAAGATAGTCAAATGATTTTTTGTAAAAGACTTCGCTGTTTATATATATTAACTGTGCATTGGTCTTAAGTAATTTATTTGAACGCCTTCCTGATTGAAATTTTAGCTGAAATTTGGTATGGGTAAACTACACTTCATGAAGAACACGCTCAAAACATTTCATCAAAAAAATTCAACTGGAAGGGCCCAAAATGCCCTCGGCTGGACGGCTGTTCCCGTCAGGCTGGCTGGACAGGAAGACTACTATATATACATATATATATATATATATATATATATAGATAAAAGATCAAATACAAACCATGCTTAAAATACTAACCTACAAACTCAATAATATGCATCACTTTAAACTTCAATATGCAGCAAAAATAATGTAAAGATGCAGGGGTGAGATCACATACAAACTAGTCATCCCATTCTATTCATCTTTATATTATTTGTATCGCAAATTGAAGTTCAAAGTGTTTCATATTATTCAAGCCATAAAATAACAGTTTCATATTTACATTATTTGTATTGCATATTGAAATTCAAAGAGTGCATCTTTACATTATTTGTATTGCATATTGAAGTTCAAAGTGTTGCATATTATTGAGTTTGTAGGTTAGTAAGTTAAGCATGGTTTGTATGTGATCTCACAATATAGGTATATAGGGGTGAGTTCTAATACAAAGAGGTCTTCCCATGAAAAGTGAGAAGTAATCTAAGCCCTTGATTACTTAAAAATGGATGATATAGATCAAAACTCATGATCAACCAAAATGTGTAATACATAATAGCAAAATTGCATATGCAATATGTAACGGTACACATTCACCTTAAAAAAAATATCAGGAACGATCTTTATACTTGTTATGTTTTCCCGAAAAGTGATGCACTTTTTTGTTAGTCTAACTCACTTTTCCTCCGTAGTGAACACATTTGTCACGTTAGTTTTCAAAAAAGTTTTTAATAATTACACTTTTGGCACTGAATTTTTCCCTTGAAAATTGATTTGATCCACTCATTTTCTCATTTTAACGGCTAAGAGTACTTCTCATTTTTCATATGAGGTATACTTTATATTTGAACCTCCCTCTACATGCATGCATGTACGTACGTATGTATTGCTCCCTCCGTCCCGCTAAGATCGTCTAATCTTTTCTTTTCGGTCTGCTTCACTTAAATTGTCCTATATCAAATGTGGTTCTAAATTATTTTTACTCTATCAATTCATTAACAATCACATAAGCTCACTTTTCTTAATAATCATATCATCTCTTCACGTTCCAATGTTTAGGGTGACGGATGTAGTATATTTTAATTAGACGTATGTTTTATGAAACAACTCAATTAGGCTTGTGGACTACGTGAGTTGAGTACTACAACCACAACAACATGCTTACTGTTGTGCTAGAGCACAAAGACAATTTCCGATACAAATTGCATGGACTGGCCGCTGCTTCATAATAAAGAAGCGCAAACAGTTTAGTGAGTCATTTCTCCTGAAATAGTTTCACAAGTAGTTCGGTTTGATTTGCTAACACCCCAAGTCCTAAGGTGAGCGATCCTCACCTTGCTTTTTTCCTCACCATGCTTTTTTCATGTCTAAGATTGTATAGTTCATTCCTTAAATAGCTTTAGCAGAAAAATCCTTGCATGTCCATCAGTCTCTCAGTGGTCTGCTACACTTTTAATGCGTATATGGTATAGGCTTAGTAATACTTACATAAGTCATATTTGGAGTCATTAATGAACCACGTGGTAAATACATGCACATTTGTTGTATTCCTTGCTGCATGTTGTAAAAGTTTTGGTCACTAAAACTGATGGTCTGCTGCAAATAAATCATGCTTTAGATTCCTGTAAAGTAACATTTTGTTTTTTCTTTTTTTACAGGTTTCTATGCTCACAGACAGTGTTCAAGTTATAGTGAATGCTTTACAAGCTTCAAGTGTTGTAGAAATACAGGTATATTGGTTTAGTAGATTTTCTTTATTGTTTTAGCAACCAGGTAACAGTTGCACTAAATGAATTGAATGATATGTTTGATGTTCTATGAACATCGTTAATATACTACAAAGTATTTAATATACTTGTTTCCCTTAAAGGGTGAGAAAGTGAGGCGACGCGGTGACTGGATGAAATGGATTGTGCCACTATCTATCCGATATTCGAGTCATCAGGCTGTTGTACAAGACCCTAGCAAGGTTTCGGTTATGGCCCATCTCAAGAGTGTTACATTAGATGAGGCGGCTTCAAATGGCAGTGCAGATGCATGTGATAGTATAGGGTCTTCAACTCAGCAGCAATCTGGCAACACAATCATAACTGAGGGAGGACAGTCAGCACTTGCAGGAAACTCTAGTAATAAAGACGTGTTGCGTTAGACAAGAGCAATCAGCTTGAAGGGCAGTCTGGCAGGGCCAAAGAAACTCGTTTTGAAAGTACAGGCAAATCTGGAGCATATTGAAAAGAAAAGCTGAAATGGGTTGGCTAAAAAATAAAATAAAAACAAGTCCAAAGAGTTAGATGACGTTCAAAGCTGCTTTTTATTTTAGCTTGTGGGATGTATATTTTTTATTCAATTTGGGGAAAAAGTCTAATCTCCTAAAATTCTATTGTTTGTGCCATGGGGAGTTTTGATTGCAATTGCCCCTTGGTGGGTTATATACCTTACTCCCAACAAATTTTGGTGGTCAAGTACACCTAATGCTATTACGTCTCAGCCTCTCAGGTAGTCAGAAAATCGAGAAAAGAAGTGAAGTGGGTTTGTATCTCAGTATCTCCAGGCTTTTGGTGCTGATGCTGAGCGGCAGCGTAGTCTAAATGCTTATGCAATGTTCTATGTTGTTCCTCGCTACTGAAGCCAGTAATTAAGATGTCTAATAAACTAGAGTATGGGTCTTGGAAGTGTGCCTATGGATTTTAAGAATTTTGGCCATTGGCCATCGAATTAAGATGTCTAATTGAGTATTGTTGTATTGCAGCCTTGGGCCATTGAATTTTGGGTATTATAGCAATATTATTTTCGAGGTTTGATAGGTCGACACAATATCAGCAAGAACTTGCATTGTAGTGCGATTAGGGATGGACTCGGGCTAGGAATGGACTCGGGCCGGATTAACTGGGGCGGTTCCCGAGCCTTGCATTTGATGAACTGACCTGGCCGGTTTGGGCCAAATTATTTTTGCTTTGTTTTTCATATTTTTAAAAAGATAAATGGGTTGGGCTGGGCGTTTTGGAGGGGTTTGGGGTGGGGGGTAGGAAAGTAATTAGAAACTAAAAAATTAAAAAAACATAGGGTGAATCGATCCTGTAACTGCCATGTGAATCGGCCTGACTCGGGCGTGGAGCTACTCGGGCCGGTTTTCGGGCCTCACTTCTCCAAAAAAAGCCTGGTTAGAATCGGACTGAGGCTCGGCTCGGCCCGAATCGAGGCCATGCCTAACTCGGGCCGGGTTAACCGGCCTATAACCGGACCGAACTGGTACTGTTACGGTCCGGATTGGCTTGGTACCTGATTTTGTGCCCGGTTTGAGCCACCCGGTCCGGCACTGTAGATGGGCGGTTCCCGGGCCTCCCAAATCACGAACCGGCTTGGGTAGGAAGTAATTAGAAAAAAAGTAGGGTACCCGGCCTGACCCGCCACGGCCCGGTAATCGTCGGGTGAACCGGCCCGACCAGGGCCCAGAGCTATCCGGGCTAGTTTCCGGGCCTCACTTCTCCAAAAAAAGCCCGGTCGGAACCGGACCGAGGCCCGACCCGGTCCGAATCGAGTCCATGTTTAAGTGCGATTACTATGTAGAGATGGACCAAACCGGGTCGGCCCGGCCCTGAACCGGCCCGGCCTGCCACTGTGCGGGCCCGGCCCGGTTACGGAATGGCGGTGCGGGCTTTTACCCGGCCCGGGGGAGGCTTGCGGTCCGGGCACGGTTCACAAAAAGGAAGGTCCGGCCCGGCCGGTTCGGGCCAACGACTATAATTTAAAAAAAAAAAAATCTTTTGGCTACCAAACAGGCCCTTAGAGCCGTTGTGATTGAACCCAAACGGCTATATAGCCGTTGGGAGCCTTCCTGGGGTCCAAGGGTGGGTTAGGGGGTGGGGGTGGGGGTGGGGGGTTATAGGTACAAAAAAATTATAAATACTCCATTTTTTCTATACAATTTACTACACATCTTCTCCAAATATTCTTACTCTCTAATCTCTATTCTCTACTAATTTATTATTTATATATCTACTTTATACTTAAGATGGAAAATCAAGATGCCGTTATACGGTATAATTTTGATAAGCAAAAGGACCCGAAGACCGGGATGTGATACGCAACTTGTAAATGGTGCGGGGGAAAATGTAGCATGGGGGTTTCAGGCGGATACGGGATGACAATGAAGCATATGAAGTCATGTGACAAAGCCAAAGGATCGGGAGGTGCGAGAAGTTCCGATTGATTACAATTTACAAAATGTTTGTCTCTTGAAGTTTGTTTTAATTTTCAAATGTAGTTCCTATTTCATTTCAAATAAATGCACTTGAAGTTTGTTTTTTAATACTTGTATAAAACTATAAAGTATAAAATATAAATTAAAAAACAAACAAAAAATTTAACCGACCCGGCCCGGCCCGGCGGGTGGCCCGACCCGTGACCCGGTCGGATGGCCCGGCCCGAATCGGACCCGTCCAACCCTCGGACCGGTCCCGGGCCCATGTGATACGAACCGGCGGCCCGACCGGGTCCGATCGGGCCCGAATCCACCCCTATTACTATGTTCATGTCAATTCCAACTTACAAAACCCATAACGAACAAGACACTTGAGAAAGTTTGCCCACGTATAGGGATGGACTCGGGCCGGGTGGCCCGACCCGGAACCGGCCCGGGACCGGTACTGTTCCGGCCCGGCCCGACCCGGTGGCCCGGTCAGTGACCGGTCCGGGTAGGCCCGGCCCGTGGGTTTTCCGGTCCGGGCTCGGGTCACCCAAAACAAGGCCTGACCCGGCCGGGGCCGGGCCCGGTTCAGGTCAAAACCTATTTTTTTTTCAATTTTTTTTAAATTTTCGGGTTGGGCTGGGTATTTTGGGCCATTTGGGATGGTTTGGGGGGTTGGGGGTGGGAGGGGGGGTTAATTAGGAAGAGGAAAACAAAAAAATGATAATGGGCCCGGCCCGGCCCGGACCCGGACCGGACCCGGTGGTTACCCGGGCCGGTCCCGGGTCCACCATTTCTGAACCGCCGGCCCGCCCTGGCCTAGGCCCGACCCGGACCCGGCCCGGACCCGGCCCGGACCCGACTCAATCCCTACCCACGTAAGAGGGAGAGAACCCTTTGGCCAAGAAACTGGGTAAGAAATAAGTAAAACTCTTGATTTGCAAATTCATTGCTCCTGTTGTGGTACTTCTGCAACCATGCAACCTCACTGCGGTATCTCTTCCGCTAGAGTCTAGACTGCCACCATCTTGTTAGTTTTTGTTGTTGTTGTCACAATACGAGCTTTATGTTTTGTTATCACCCTCCTTAATTCTTAAAAAAATACTTATAACTACTCTGTATTCGTTTCATTTTTTGTTTTGGCACAATCTCGTTCAGTTTATTTTATGAACTCTATCAATATGTACTTTTTCTCTAATGTATCATTTTCTGATGCTTTAAACTATGTGCACAACTTTTATGAAGGGTAAGTCATTTATTTACGTGAAAAAGTGATTGTCAGGATTTTTTTTATGTTTTGCTCTAGTAATGTATCAATATTTCTCATTTAAATTCATTCAAGTTTTTCTAGTCCGATATAGTGCAATTTGATTCCTTTTTATATGTTTCAAATCTTGTTCGTCCAATATAATTTAGGCAGGGCTGGTCCTAACAAAACAGGGGCCCTGTGCAACAATGAAATTTGAGCCTTTTATTTAATGAAGTAAAAAAACATAATACACTGTACACTATATTAGTGACAAATGACTAATACTTTATGTCAAATTACAAGTTACTAATTAACTAATTAAAACAGTCAAAATAAATGTATTTGTTAATAAAATACACTTTATTTTAAAGGAGATATTCTATGCACATATTTTAAATGAGTTATAATCAATGTCTAATAGACTCAAGACGACAAGACTAAGTCTTTCAGCCTAGGCGATGTTGAGACGTGAATAGACGTTTGTCTATACACTTTATTTTAATTTTTGTAGAATTTTTTAAGATATGCAAGTCTAATTTTAAAGATTATCTTACAAAAAATCAAATTTTTCTAATTTCCAAGAGAATTAGATTTCCAGATTCCTTATAAATATGACAAATATAATATCATGATCGTTTAATTCGAAAAATTGAATATATGTTATTATGATTAAAGTAACTATCGTCACTATATTAAAAGATCACATTTTTATGATTGAATATCATGATCAAATTTTTCTAATTTCCAAGAGAATTAGATTTCCGGATTCCTTATAAATATGACAAATATAATATCATGATCGTTTCATTTCATTTTCATTTTCATTTACCCCAGTGCCGCAAAGGCTCCCACCTACGGTGGGGTAAGGGGGGTCGGATGTACGCAGTCTTACCCCTGTACTAAAGCACAGAGAGACTGTTTCCGGATGACCCATAGTGAAAATACCGTCCAAAATTGCATAGACTGACTGTTACTTCATAACAAAGAAGCGCAAACAGTTTAGTGAGCCATTTTGCTTTATTCCATCATAATCTCAAGCCAAAAAATAATGAATTTTTGGCTCCATTGCAAATGATGGAAAAATATCATGATCGTTTAATTCTAAAAATTGAATATATGTTATTATGATTAAAATTTCATGATTTTCTTCATAAAATTTAAATATGTTTTGACTTTGTTAAACTAATACTTCCATGAAAATCATGAAATTTTATGAAGAAAATCATGAAATTTTAAGTCTTAGATGAGATCGATAGTTTTCAATCATATTGACATGTTTCATCTCTCAAGTTCTAGATTGGCATGTTCTATGTAAGTATTTGTTTTTTAATTCTAGTAATCTAGTATAAGAGACAATTCTAGATCAGAGATCAATAATGTTAAACTCGTACCGAAACATATCTTTACTCATATCAATAAGGGAAAACTATCAAATAAGCCCCCGTACTATGCCAAAAAAGTCGATTAGGCCCTCGCACTTTACAAACACTCAATTAAGTCCTCGAACTATTAAAAAACATTCAATTAAGCCCTTTTGGTCGGTAAGAAACCGGTTTCTCGGTTAAACGGCGACGACAGCGACGATGTGCTCGAACCCCAGCAACGACGACTACTGGGAAACGGGTTACATTTAATCGGGAAACCGGTTACTTACCGATCGAAAGGGCTTAATTGAACGTTTTTTAATAGTTCGAAGACTTAATTGAGTGTTTGTAAAGTACGAGGGCCTAATCGACTATTTCGATATAGTACGAGGGCTTATTTGATAGTTTTCCCTATCAATAATGGAATTATTATTATTATGGTGACGAAGTGTTCATTTAGTTATATACACAAGTGATTCATCACTCTAACAGGATAGGATGCGTTATGCGTGCTTAAAAAAATTGTCCTTTAAAAGTTTGCTCAAGAAAACAAGAAACTCGCCAATATCAATAACTTTGTAAGAGAAAATGTTCATTTAGTAGTCTGGGAATATCTCTATTCTTTGATTGTTCATACTCGTTGGAGTGTTAGAATGTAAAGGGTTTCTTCATAACGCTAAGTTTTGAGATCTTTAAATAATGATGATTCGAGTGTGCGAAGCGTGCATTCATAAGTGTTATATCTCTTTGGCTGGCTGATCTGCACTTGCAGCAAGTATGCCAGCTAACATTGTCATGTCACACCACAACAAAATGGTGTGGTGGAAAGCAAACACCTTCATCTCCTAGAATTAACTTGTACCATGCTTGACAGATCGCTGACGTTGGGGTAGCCGAAATCCGAGAAATATGAAAAGGATGGAAGAGTAAGTAAGACTAGGTAGAAATTTTAGCAGAGTAACAACAAGATTACACAGAGAACTTTCGGATCCCTTTCCACAAGCTGGAAAG